ACTGTACCTGAAAGGCTGGCACACCACTGCCCTCGGGTGCCCTTTCGTATCGTCCAACCTACAAAGAGCAGAGACAGGCGCTCAGGGTCCCCGCGCGCCCCTCCCAGCCGAGACCCAGGTGCACGCAGTCAGAGCCCTGAGGGAGCCCCTTGGGGACGGGCATCTGTTCCTTCATTGACAAAACAAACCCCAGAGCCAGCAGGAAGTGACTGCAGTCGTTTTGTTTCATCTTGAATTCCATTTAGAGCAAATTGCTTTCTTTGTTTGCTTTTGTTAATCCTCACCCATAGATATTTTTCAATTGAATTTAGATAGAGAGGGAGAGAGGGAGGGAGGGAGGGAGGGAAACATCAATGTGAGAGCAACACATTGATTGGTTGCCTCCCGCGTGTGCCTAGCCTGGGATGGATCCTGCAACCCAGGTGCATGCCCTTGACTGGGAACCGAACCCAAGGCCCTTCAGTGCCCAGGCCGATGCTCTAACCACTGAAACACACTGGCCAGGGTGCAGCTGACCCATGATTCTCTCTCATCATGGATGTTTCTATCTCTCTCTCTCCCTTCTTCTCTGAAATCAATACAAATAGATTTTTAAAAAGGAGAGAGAGGGTTAAATATTCTGTCCACACGTGGAACACACATGAAGGTCCAAGTTTCAAATGCTCTACCTGAACGCGCAGGGCGGCGAGGAGCGTGGCTGGCGCTGGCTCTTTAAGGCACGTAGTTTATCTCCCTGGGTTATGCTGTTTTTCATTTCCACATCCTCATCCTCTTCTAAGTTGTTCTGGGGGGGAAAGTGCATGTTCCACAGAAAGGTCATGGTGAACGATCGGCTGTATGAGGATTTCTTACTAGATGGCAGGCTCTCTGTGTGTAGGTATATTTCATATGGATCATCTTCATCGCTTTAATGCACTATGAACTCAGCACTGCTCACATGTACATTACAGAATGTGAAGTACAGCATAGGGAATACAGTCAATCATAGAGGATGCAGGGTAGAATTGCATACCCCAAATCTATGCAATTTTATTAACCAAAGTCACCCCATCTGACAGCCTCCCTGCGCCCTGTGCGTGGTCACCCCATCTGACAGCCTCCCTGTGCCCTGTGCGTGGTCACCCCGTCTTGCTTTGGGGGAGGGGGGCTCCACGCCTAAGATTCTGGTCCTCTCAGCCTCAGAGAAGAAACACGTTCCACCCTGTGAGTCCACGTGCAGGACGGGAGTCCTGGGGGGACACCGACGCCTCCTGGGGGGGACTCACCTCTCCAAATCGCTCCACGTTCTGTATTTTGGATAAGTTTCCACCAATAGACATGTCATCCAAGTTCGAAAGAATTTTATTAATACTTTCTTCGCTGGACGGTCTATTTTTCAATTTGGATCGAAAAAGGTCTCCTTGGACCCATAACGATGCTTGTTTTCTGTAGAAAGGAGAGAAAAGCAAAATGCCCCTTACAACAAATACTGTCATCTCAGGAGTATGATGTCTTGCCAACAAAAGGACAAGCAGATAAACATTTACAAAGCAGAACAGAGCGATTACGGAGTCTTAGGACAAGGAAAATAAACTCCCTTTCTGAAGCCACAGCAAGTTAAATTCTATATAAAACACAAATGACCATCTTCTGCTACAGGTCCCGATCGCCACACAGGGGTTGACTGCTAAGGTTCTCAGATGCTCAGAACAAATTCCATCGCAGAAGACTGGGAACCCCTTTGTTGTTTTTAAAAATATGTATTTTGTTGATTTCAGAGAGGAAGGGAGAGGGAGAGAGAGAGAAACATCCATGATGAGAGAGAATCATGGACCGGCTGCCTCCTGCACGCCCCACAGTGGGGACTGAGCCACAACCCGGGCGCGTGCCCTGACCGGGAATCAAACCTTGACCTCCTGGTTCATAGGTCGACACTCGACCACTGAGCCACCCCGGCCGGACTAAAATCTGCTTTTTTTGAATCCCCCCCAAAGAAAGGCAGGTCCGTTGCCTTGCCGGACTGAAATCTGCTCTTTGAATCCCCCCCAAAGAAAGGCAGGTCCGTTGCCTTGTCTCCGGCTTTGAATTGCGAGCACGCGGTTCACTGTGCGGCTGCTTCTGTTTGGAGCTGACCTCCCTCCCTCCGCACTTCCTGAGCCCGACCAGTCCTGACCCACAGCAGCGACCTTCATCACCCTCCAGTCCGGACACGCCCTCCCAGTGCCCCCCTCCCTTCCCCGTGTCCACCCAAAGCCACAGTGGTCATGTCGCCTGGACACCCACCCACTTTGTGCCCCACCCAGGCCTGCTGCGCTGCGACCTGCGGCCAGGCCGCCCCGCACAGCTCCCAGCACCACCCCAGGGCGGCCGTGGGTCCAGGGGATGCTCCTGGATTCAAGAATCGGACAAATGAGACCCTCTCACTTGGCATCAGAGGAAGATGTCAGAGAGCAGCGCCCACGACTGGGGAGACGGAAGGAGGCGCTAAGCAAGGAGAACTGCTACTTCGTACTGACGGATGTTCCATCGGAAGATGTTTAGAAAGAGTGTAGGAGGGTGTGGGAGAAGGTCCTGCTTCTGCAACACCAAGAAAATGTAGCTAGAAAGGCAAGAAGTGATTTGGGACGTTTGCCAACGAGTCAACTACCTGAATCCAGTTGAATTTAGGGGTAGAACCCCTCCATCCTCGCCCTCAGTCACTGCTATCAAACCAAAATACAAACTTCACAACGAACCCTAACGCATCATTATTTCACCTCTAACCCCTTTCACACAGGAAACAAAACAAAAACCATTCCATGTCCCACAGTAACTGGCATGAGATTTTCAGGATCAATTCCTGATGCCACCATTGCCGAAACTTCTTCTAATACACCTTATTCTTCAGACTGAACCCAGGTCCTTGCTTAGCCAATGGCTTCAATGCCAATGGGGTGTCGAGTGAATCAAACGATGGAATAGTGAATATCGAAAAGCAATTCCCAGGTTTGTAGTAGCTGTTGCTGCAAAAAGGTGACTGCCACGCACAGTTCCCATTCACACCCATGCCGTGTGCTTGTGGCTCCAATAAACCAACCACAAGATTGTCAAGCATTATCTTCCTTTGCTTCTAATATTTCAGATCCTAATTGTTGCTATTTTAGGAAATCTCTTAATAGATTATTTTAAAAAAACGGAACCCCTTTAGGAATAGCAAGTTCCGAAATCTCTTAATAGATTATTTTAAAAAAACGGAACCCACTTTCCTGGACCCAGTGCCTGTATCTAACACACCCACACCCTAAAGGCCCACAGGAGGAGTCAGTCATGATAAAAACCCCAGCTCTATCATTAGACACGTCCAGGCATTTTTCCATCTCGTGAACAGGCGTTCTTCATCTTGTGTTTGGTTATTTCCTGAAATAAAAAGCACTGGTTGACCTATTAACTGCCGATGTCACTCGGTTCTATGGTGACATTGACCAGATGCTGTGAGCACCACAGGGAGCGAGACAGCCAGTGCCGAGACAGTGAGCTCAGGCCTCGTCCACCCTGTGGGTGGGACCACCCGCCTCACCCGGGCGCTTGTGAGAAACGGGATCGCGGGTCCCACCCGACCTGCTGGCTCAGAAACGAGATCCCCACGGTCCGCAGGCGCCTGAACCTAGAGGAGGTCTGCAGACCCAGCGCTACGTTCGCCGGCTGGCAAATACCCGACGGACTGGACGTTGAGAAAAGAGGAAGAATCCCCGAGACCTTCATCACCCTCCAGTCCGGACAGAATGGGGGCCCGGCTGGTGTGGCTCAGTGGTTGAGCGTCAACCTAGGAACCAGGAGGTCACAGTTCGATTCCCGGTCAGGGCACAGGCCCGGCCCGGGTTGCAGGCTCGATCCCCAGTAGGGGGCATGCAGGAGACGGCCGATCAATGATTCTCTCTCATCATGCATGTTTCTCTCTCTCCCTCTCCCTTCCTCTCTGAAATCAATAAAAATATTCTTTTTAAAAAGACACAGAAATGAACGCCCGGGCCTGTGTGGTGTGAGGACTGGCAGGCGTGAGGAGCAGCGTCCTGAGGTCTCGGGGCTGGAGTACCATCCCCACAGGGCTCCGTGGTTCACGTGGAGGAGCACCATCCGCCCCTCGTTCAGGGTCTGACAGATGAAAACCCATCAGGAGACGTTTCACCCTCATTTCTTCCCCGAGGAGTGTGTTACTTATTCATGCGTCTGCGTCATCGCTGACGCCACTCTCTTCATCTCTCATGTCTTTCGTCCGTCCTCACAGCCTGAGACTGACGTCCTGCAATGGCCCGGGGCCCACCTTCTAGCCCGGGCCAAGTCCCAGGCTCTTTCTTTAGCCTCTGACTCCAGCTCCACACCTGCTGGTGGGAAGCCACCGGACACGTCGCTGCGGCCAGTCTCCTTGAGTAACATGAGGTCGCAGTGCCCTGCTCTGAACCCCCCAAGGTAGAAATCTGATGAACGAAACTCGTTCCGAATAGCCAAGCCCACAGGAGGCCTGGGTCTCACTGCCCGTCCTCCCTGACCCGCCACAGGTGACGACACCTCCACGGGTGCCTAGGCGTCCTGCCTACACGAAGCTGCCGGAACCAATTCCCACGCACGCGGCAGCCCAGGAGAACAGGCACTTCTGCACGGTGCTGGCGTCGGGAGGCCAACGGCAGCTCCAAAGCAAATTCCCATCCAAACAAAACGCAACGCGTGACTAGAAGACTGACCACACCACGTATCTGCACGTCTGTGCAGAAGCCCGAGCTCCCACACCTGCCGCTGGGCACACGGGCGGGCGTGCCTGCCTGGGACCCCCTGGGGGGACACCTGCTGTGGCTCACTGTCCCTCCCAGGGGCGGGCAGCCAACAGGCCACTGGGCCGACGGACAGGGGGACAGCCAACAGGCAGCTGGGCAAATGGACAGGGGGACAGCCAACAGGCCACTGGGCCAATGGACAGGGGGACAGCCAATAGGCCGCTGGGCCGACGGACAGGGGGACAGCCAACAGGCCACTGGGCCAATGGACAGGGCGACAGCCAGGCCTCTCGGTGCACAGACACACTCACCCACCGAGCCCCAGCGGCCAGGGCTCCTCGTCCCGTTAATGGGCGAATGGCTGGTGATTTCTAAAATGTTAAGGGGAAACCGGGAAGGGTTGTGCGCCTACAGGTTAAGTCTCTCCCCCTTGGGGACCGGGGTTTGACCAAAGCCAGTGGGTGAGCACGGGAAGGAGGGAGGGGTTGTAAGTATTCCTCTGGGTCCGGGCAGGTGGGACCAGCCGCTCTCCCTCCTGCCCGGGCAGCTCCTCAGACGCAGCCACACGCAGCTGCCTCCTTGTCCGGGAGCGGCAACCTCGCCACCGTCACCCACAGACCTCAGCTGCGTTTTGTTTGGTTTGTGTGTGTTTTCTGTTCTGCTTATAGACATGCAAACAACAGAAAAGAAGGGAATGACATGCCAGGTGGGAAGACGTAAGAAAATCACACTGAGGCCAGATCACACCCAGGAAACGACGGAACCGGCAGGCGCAGGTGGCTCTGCGCCTCCTGCTCACCTGCCCGGCCCGGAGACCACAGGAGCCGTGAGGAGGCCTGAGCCGTCCCCTCGCCAGGCTCCTGGGGCGTGGCCTTCCCTCCTGATGCAGCCGTCCATCACCCCAGCTGCCACGGTCCGGGGGAAACGGAGGCAGGGCGACCAGGGACCCGGATGTACCCCGCCCGTGGGAACGACAGACTTACTCTTCCAGGAAGTGCTGCTGGGGCCCGATGATGGAGCCGGGCCGGCATATCCGGATCCAGGAGATGACCTCGGCGTGCGTGAACCTGTAGTGCTTCATGACGTAGCAGGCGATCAGCGTCCCCGTCCTGCCCAGGCCGGCTGCAAGAGAGGGACGAGCCGGGGATGCAAACCCGCCCGGCACCTGCCCGGGCACTGCCTGTTTAAAACGCTACTGACCCTGTTTCATCAGACGAGGGGCGTGGGGGCGGGGGCGGCCTATTGGCACCTGAAGCAAGGCCACCTCCTGACCCCAAGGACCTGACCCGGCACCAACGCGCTCGAAAAGAGTGACGTTAATGTGGCCTCCGTGGGCTCTTCTTTAGACGTAGGAGTTAGGAGACATTTGTCCTGGTCTCTGCGGAGGTCTGACAAGGCCACAGATCATGTTGATAGAACACAGCCCAGTGGCCCGGAGCAGGACCAGGGCCAGTCGGCATCCAGAGCCCCTCCGCTGGCCTCTGCGGGGACACCAGTGCCCCCACGCCCTCTCCCTGGGCCGGGGAGGGGGCGGGGGGGCTCCTTGCCACACATACCCACAACCAAAAAGAAAAGGTGCAGAAAGTGTTCAGATCCCTCTGAAACGTAAGCTGCTTCCCCCTTTCAAAAAGCCTGTAATTTAATCTATAAAAAGAACGTACTTGCGCTCTCACCAGGATCGCACAGGAGAGGAGCGTTCCGCTAGGTTCTAGAAGAGCCTGAACGGTCTGTGAAAGCGGGCCTAGCGAGAGGGCTCCCGGTGCCGCGGGGCGAGAAGCTGGACGGGGTCTATTTACCGACTGCCCCGCCGCCCGCCTTACAGGGCCAGCCGGTTCCTGAAATCCCTACAGAACAAGCATGTCAAACTCACGGCCCGCAGGCCGCATGCCTTGTTTATTTGGCCCGTGTTAGCCTTTGAGTTTGACATACTTGCTGCAGAACCTCAGCAATCCCAGATCAGAACTGCACAGTGCGGCCATGTTCCAAACGATTGTGCTAGAAAGTTTCATGAGTCCCTAGCCCTCTCTTCACTCAACTAGAAGGTGAACAGGAGACACTGAACGGTCATAGCAGGTCACACCTACCCAGCAAACTCGGTTCTGGTTTGTCCACGGGGGGTGAGGGGGGGGCCTTTTCCTGCCAAGGGCATCTGGACATTTATAACGTCATTCGCGGGCCACACAACGTTATCCACTTAAACATCTGCCTGCTCTACTTGGTCAAACAGGTAACACCCCTGATGCCTTGGCAGGGCCAGGCCCAATGATTTCGAGGGCCTTACACGGCCCGCGGGCCGGACGTTCCCCACCCCTGCTCTGTACAGCACTTTTCGGGAGGCGCGTGGCACAGCCGTTCTCTCTCCGCAGCCACCGAAGTTCGTGGGACACGGAAGACTATTCTCACTGCCTCCTCCTCGCAGTTCAGTTAAAATGCTCGAGGCGGCTGAATTCCCAGAAAATTAAGCTGACTTAATTAGGGCGGATGTCAAAATAATTAACGGGCCTCCAGCAGATACCGATGCTATGAAAAGCAGTGGAGCGGTAATTACTCCGAAGGTGTGATCCTTGTAAAAGGCTCCCACGTGTGTGTACAAGTGGAAGCAAATGAAACACTCAGCCAGATGTCGCCACCTGGGAGCGGGACGGCCCACACAGAACTGACCCCGGGCTTCCGCTCGGGCTGGCGCCTCCCACGCCGATATCGAAACCGAGTTACAGAGCGACCACCCTGAGCCGCGCAGACTTGCTGCACAGTCCTCTGTGTAACAAGGCGCACGTCCAGGCTGCAATCACTCACTGTGCCAAAGCTGCCACGGGTTATTCTGATGCAAAAAAACAAACTAGACATCAAGCCAGACTCATCCCCGGAAAGACAAAAGCAGTTTGAAAGAGAGCCTGCGAGCGTTTCCTGTTCCCAGGAGCTCCCAGCTTCCGCGGATACGTGAAGTGTGTGGAGTTCGGGCTTTTTCGTGGGCCTGGGCAATCCTTTCATTTATTTTTACTTCTTTTATTTGAGAGAGAGAGAGAGAGACATCGATTTGCTGTTCCACTTATTGATGTATTCGTTTGTGGGTTCTTGAATGTGCCCTAACCCAGATCAAACCCGCAACCTTGGCCGATCAAGATGGCACACAAACCACTGAGCTGCCTGGCCAGGGCGTGCCTGGGCAATCCTGACCAAAATGCGAGAGCAAGGCAGTTAGGCTGCGAATGGGCCACACCCGGGCCACACCCGCTCACCCCCGCCCCCCCCAACGTGACCTGATGGGAAGGGAGAGCAGCAATCCGCCAGGAGTGAAGGGAAGACCCCCCCTAAGAGGCAGGGAGGCCTGCCCTCAGCTCCATCCTGCAGGACACGGGAGGGAGGGGCCTGTCGGGTGGACTGGCCTGACGCGGGAGCCCCATCTAAATGGGGGCCGCGTGCCACTCAGCCCCCCTCCCGGGTCCCTGCAGAGGCAGCCTTCGTTGCTCTCACATGTTCAGCAAAGTACCTCCACCTACTCACATCTTAAACATAGCAGCAGGCCCGGATGGCGTTTCCATCACTGTCAGAGCCAGAGCAGCTCTTGGAGCACGTCAGGCGCCTGGAAAGAACAGCGCAGCCCCCACATGGACCAGACCCTGAGCACCCAGCTCCACAGGTGCGGGAGCAGCGCCCCCCAGTGGCGCTCGGAGACGCTGCACGTGGGGAGCCGGGGCCCAGCCCAGGGAGGCCAGAGCACTGCTCTCCGCAGGGACATCACAGACCCGGCCCCGGCGGCTCCGAGCGTGTCTTCTCTCCTGTTTGCCGAGCAGCAGACACGGGCTGCAGGAAACGTACAGCACGTACGTTCCGTGCATATTTGAGACACATTAAAACAGTCCTCGTCGTTTATCTGAAACTGAACTTGCACTGGGCGGCCTGCACTGCTCTGTGCTAAACCCTACAACCCGGAGGACCCTGCCCCAGCGTGCCCCCCCCGCCCCTCCGAGACCAGAGATTCCTTTACACAACCAAGTCCTGCCGTTCACTCAGAGACAAGCCAACAGCCGGTGACTCCCGTGGGCTGCCGTCCCCTGGCCTCGGGCTGGGAAGACACGCGCAGAGGCCCGTGGGGAAAGGCAGGAGCAGAGGGGGCAGGCCCGACGGTTGGGGCAAGAGACGGAGCATCAGCCCAGGGGGTGGGGAGGGAGGAAAGGGGTGGCCGGTTCCAGGAGGGAGAGAGGGACCAACCAGCCCTCGCCTCCTGACAGGTGTGCCGGCGCCTGCCCGGCCGCATGGCTCAGCAGCTGAGCGTCGACCAGGAAAGAAAAGGTTGCGGGTTCCATTCCCGGTCAGGGCACATGCTCAGGTCACAGGCTCGATCCCCAGTGGGGGGCACGCAGGAGGCGGCCGACCAATGACGCTCCTCTCTCATCAATGTTTCCATCTCTCTCTCCTTCTCCCTTTCTCTCTCTCTCTCAAATTCAATACAAACATATTTTTTTTTAAGTCTTCAAAAATTAGAATAAAAGTGCCCTGCCAGCCTACAGACGCTGCCCCGCCCCGCACGGAGGCGCCTGGGAAGCGAGGGGACCGGGGAGGCCACCGGCACCCACATCCAAGCCACCCTTTCCTGGGAAGGGGCTGTGCCAACAGGCTGCGTCCCCTTTTCTCAGACACAGTGGCTCTGGGGCCTGGGGTGCGGCTTCGGGCCGGGCCGCACGGAGGCGGGCGCGCACCTTTGCAGTGGACGGCGATGGCCCCCTCCGTGTTCTCGCAGATGTTCAGGAACCTGCGCACGATGTTGTCGCAGGGCGTGCTGCCGTCGATGAAGAAGAGGTCGTAGTGCTCGAAGCCGGCGTCCGTGAAGCGCTTGGCCTCGTAGATCTTCTTGTTCAGCCTCACAATGGCCGTCACGTTGTGCTTTTTGAAGTAAGGGAAGTAGGCTTCGGGGGCGTGGAGGGGGTAACCTGGGGGAGAGGGGGCTGTCAGCACAGCGGGGGGCCCCTGGGGGTCCCCCCATTTCTCTCCCTGGGATCCTGGTGGTTTCCTAAGCCTCGGTCCCCCGCCTTCCCCTGGGGCTGGGACTCCCAGCATCATTCCGACCAGTGCCTCTTGGGCTTCATTTGCCAGAGTTGGTTCTTCCGCCTGCCCCTCCCCCCGCCGAGCCGAGGGGTCCACTGAGCCGAGGTCACCCCACGGAGGCAGGCAGAGCTGAGAGGCAGGCCTGACTAACCCACAGCCCAGATACACAATTTCTACTTTTGAGCAAAGAGGTGAGAGAGCGTATTTGCCATCTCCCATGTGGAGAAGTGACTCACACAGGCACCAGAGGACAACTGCCTTCCCACGCGGGAAAGTCACACCTGTGTTCCTCGTCGGCTTATTGGCCCAAATCATCGTTCTTTTGAGAAAAGGGCATGGGCGTCACCAACTATGGCAACAGGACGCTGAAGTAACGACAAGAATGAGGATAATCGTAGCCGACGTGCACTGAGCACTTGCTATGGACCAGGCGCTACGGCGAAGTGCTTCACTGAACCTTGCAATTAGCCAGCTGCTGAGGCCCGCAAAGGGCCTGGCCCTGCCCACAGCGGGCAGGAGAGACGGCAGCGGCTGCGCCCTGGAGTCCGGCTCCGGGCTGCGCTGGGGCTGATTTCGGGCCAGAACCAACCTGAGGCTAATTGTTGGGTCTCCACTTCCTAGAGTTGGTGAGCAGGTTTCTTAAAGACCACAAGTGTTTCAGTGAGCTATACCCAAAGCCAGTGGCAATATCCTATGGCTGGGAACAGCTGTTTGGGGTGCCATCAGTGCTCTCACAGCTGTTTGGGGTGCTGTCAATGCTCTCACAGTGTTTGGGGTGCTGTCAATGCTCTCACAGCTGTTTGGGGTGCTATCAATGCTCTCACAGCTGTTTGGGGTGCTATCAATGCTCTCACAGCTGTTTGGGGTGCTATCAATGCTCTCACAGCTGTTTGGGGTGCTATCAATGCTCTCACAGCTGTTTGGGGTGCTATCAATGCTCTCACAGCTGTTTGGGGTGCTATCAATGCTCTCACAGCTGTTTGGGGTGCTATCAATGCTCTCACAGCTGTTTGGGGTGCTATCAATGCTCTCACAGCTGTTTGGGGTGCTATCAATGCTCTCACAGCTGTTTGGGGTGCTATCAATGCTCTCACAGCTGTTTGGGGTGCTATCAATGCTCTCACAGCTGTTTGGGGTGCTATCAATGCTCTCACAGCTGTTTGGGGTGCTATCAATGCTCTCACAGCTGTTTGGGGTGCTATCAATGCTCTCACAGCTGTTTGGGGTGCTATCAATGCTCTCACAGCTGTTTGGGGTGCTATCAATGCTCTCACAGCTGTTTGGGGTGCTATCAATGCTCTCACAGCTGTTTGGGGTGCTATCAATGCTCTCACAGCTGTTTGGGGTGCTATCAATGCTCTCACAGCTGTTTGGGGTGCTATCAATGCTCTCACAGCTGTTTGGGGTGCTATCAATGCTCTCACAGCTGTTTGGGGTGCTATCAATGCTCTCACAGCTGTTTGGGGTGCTATCAATGCTCTCACAGCTGTTTGGGGTGCTATCAATGCTCTCACAGCTGTTTGGGGTGCTATCAATGCTCTCACAGCTGTTTGGGGTGCCATCAATGCTCTCACAGCTGTTTGGGGTGCTGTCGATGCTCTCACAGCTTTTTGGGGGGCTATCAATGCTCTCGGGGACTGGTGGTGGCGCCATGCACGGTTGCCCTTCTCCGTCCGGCCGCTAGGTGGTGCCCTGGCATCAGTGAAGCTCAGGCAGGACCCTGGAGCTACCAAACCAGAACTTGCGGGCGGAGAGAGATTTAAACATTCATCTCTTCCCTCATCGGAAGTCAGGAAACCAAAGAACAGCAGAGTTGAATGACTAGGCCCCCCAGTCATTATTAAAAGTAAAAAACTGCAAAATGGGCCAATGAAGTAAATAAAATATTAGGCTCATCCGTGACAAACATGGAATCTGAATATCTGCTCCCTGATAAGCACCTATCGTGTGCAGAGCACGGGATACAGTATCTCTAATCCTCACTGCGCGCCTGCAGTGCGCGTTGTCCCCCCTTTGACAGAGGGGGAACCCCGCTCAGGTGCAGGCGCTCACACGGTGCGAGGGGTGCAGCCGGCTCCCACCTGCCCGGCTCCCCACCTGCTCTCTCCTTAAAGGGGCAGGCTGACCTTCAGAGTGGGACTCCCCGCCTTCTCTCTCTCTCTCTCTCTCTCTCTCTCTCTCTCTGCTTTTTGCTCAATCCTTCCACAACCCTCTCATTACACCCCCCTCCCATCAGAGCTGTCTGCCTGCTCTTTTTATGTCAAAATTAAAATGTTTTGAAAGCAGCTCTGGCTGGTGGCTCAATGGTTAGAGCATTGGCCTGTGAACCAAAGGGTCTTGGGTGTGATTCCCCATCAAGGGCACATCCCTGGGTTGCAGGTTTGATCCCCAGCCCTAGTCAGGGTGTGTGCAGAAGGCAACCAATCGATGTGTCTCTCTCACAATGATGTTTCTCTCCTTCCCTCTCTCTCCATCTCCCTTCGTCCTTCTAAAAAATCAATGGAAAAACCTGGTTGGGTGAGGATTAACAACAAAATTTTTGAAAGCAGTGAAAAAGGAAAGATGCCTCACCTATAGTAGAAAAACATTTGAAACAGCCAATTTCTCACCAGAAACTGTGGACGCCAGGAGGAATTGTCACTTTTATCAAGTGTTGAAAGAAGAGATTGTCAACCCCAGATTCTATTTCTGGCAACGGCATCTTTCAGCAATGAAGGGAAAATCAAGACATTCTCAGATGAAGAAAAACTAATAGAATTTGTCTCCAGCTGGCCTACTCTTTCAAAGATGGCTAAAGGATGTTCTTGAAGCAGAAAGAAAATTATTGGGACTCCCCGCCTTCTCTCTCTCTCTCTCTCTCTCTCTCTCTCTCTCTGCTTTTGTTCTTCCTTTTTTTAAACATAAATGAGAAAAACATTATCCCCGGAGGGTTCTGGGTGGTTTGGTGTTTTGTTTTGTTTTAGAAAATCTGAAATCCAAACTATGCTGCGGTCTACCGCTAAATTATCCATTTATCGATTCCAACTTGTTTAACCAAAATACGGTCGGCTCTCGCGTCCCCACAGTCAAAGTGGCCCCAACGTGCTCTCTGTGGCCCTGAGACTCTGCGTCCAGCACCCACCACCCAGCACCCGGAGCCCCTGAGAGGAGCAGGCATCTCTCAGGGGTGACGGCTTGTTTCTCGGGGTCTCCTCTGACACCTGGTCGGGGCAGTGAGCACCCCTCTGACCACCTGACCATCGGCTAGTCTTACAGCAGCGGCCACGCCTCCACCCCTAAAGGGTGGCATCGAGCACACGAGTTACTACGATTCCGTTTCCAAATTACGAAATTCTCTGGAGAATATCACCGAAAGGAAAGATTATTGGAGGAAATGAAGGAATTAAAGACGGTCTGAAGCACATTGTTGGGTGGTAAAGAAAAACCTACCATTTTCAATTTTGCTTTTTGGATGTGGTCCACTAAATGCTAAGAATTTTCCTGGAACGATCCAGTTGAAGTCACCATTTTCAACTCGCTGGAGAATTTTGTGAGGAAAAAAAAAAAGAAAAGAAAAATATGTTATAATTCTTACACCACTTAGGAAACCCTTACGGAGAAAGTCGCTTTCATGTTACTGGTTCTAGACTAAACTGGACATATGTAAAGACAAAGTAACATAGTTTAAAATAAAAACATGCATCGATTCGCAAAATGGTACTTATGAATTCAATCCACTTCAGAAAAGTGTTTTCCTAGACTGTGTAAAACTTTAAAAAATGTTCTTAAATTTGCTTAAAAGAATTTTGTTTCCTGGCCACTCTGCAATGGAAAGAAATCAGAACAAACATTGCCTGTCCCAGTGATAAATAAAGGGAAATCAGAGAAAACAGACAATATACGCACTTTCCATGAACATGGGATACATACTTTAAGCAATTTTTTAAAATCTATAAATTGATCAGAGTTATGATGCACACACTTTCGTGGGGCAGCCATTGTCAACACTGACTTTTAGAAGGAGGAGGAGGGAGGGACAGACCCTGGTCCCACCCTCAAGGTCACACCGCTACCCAGACTCCGCCAAGGGCTCTGGCCGTGGCTGCAAACCCAACAGCCCCAGGGGCCAGGCAGGAGGAGGCCGGGCCTCAGCTCTGGCTAAGGAGCCATCCTGCAGGAAAGCGCTGGATGAGGCCCACCCTCTGACGGGACAGTCACCCGACATCTCTCGTCTTTGACATCTGCCCTTGGAAGGATGCCTTTAGATACCGCACAGCCCAACAGGACACGCCTGTGGGCTGACATGGATCACCCGGTCTCAGCCTCTGGTCCCCACACGCTAAGGATCCTGAGAAAAGGCTGAAGACCAGGGAAGGGCCGAGCCTCCTCCCACTGCCCATGCTCTACTCCTCCCCTCCCCTCCGCTCCCCTTCCCTGTGGCCTCTGAACCCAGGGACCACTGGGGCAGGGCTGGGGCACCTGAGGTTGTGCGGGCGACTGGGACACATGTGGGCGATGCATCAAAAGGTGTGTTAGCGCTGCTTCACGTTTGCTTTCTGAGCCCACCCACAACGCCACCCCCACTGCCAGTG